GGAGAATCTGAGATAACAAGGTGTAGAGCTGGATGAACACAGCCTTCACAAGGGCCCAGACCCGAAACGTCAGCTTTCCTGCTCCTCTGATGCTGCCTGGCCTGCTGTGTTCCTCCAGCTCCACATCTTGTTATCTCAGACTCCAGCATCAGCAGTTCCTGCTATCTCTGCCTTCTGGTGAGCTCGTATCTCTGCCAAACCTGCTTCTTGCTGTGACCGCGGTATCGATCCAGGAGAAGTGGGTGGGAAATTGCATGATGGTGCGACTTCAACATTTTCTGACTGACTTTCCTCTCTTGCCTGTCCAGGTTGCTGCTCTTGGGTATCTGAAAGGAGGGGGGAAGGTGGGCAAAGTAAGGAGTGCAGCTCATGCTATTTGCAGCATATTAGGTTTTGGATAGATATTTACTCAACAACCTGTTTAGAGATGTTATTATACACATCTGGAACAGGTGGGACATGAACTCTGACCTTCTGTCTTATAGGTAGGGACACAGCCACTATACCTCAAGAACCCTTTAGAGTTGTGGCATATGAGAGAGAAATGAGACATGGAGAGGTAGATCACTCACGGGGATACCTTATCTTCACTGCACTCCTTTCTGCTACTGCCTGTTCTGATGATGACCAGCACCATCTCCCTGTGGGTGGCTAGTCATACCACTCCTCCCTCAGATACTTCCTGCTCCTTGTGTTGTTCACCATTTCTTTTTCTGGAAAGAGATAGCAAAGTGCATCAGTGATGTCCAAACCTTCTGGGCCGGTGGCTGTCATAGTTAGATAGCTGACAGTGTGTTCAAGCTGTAGGATGTGGGTGTAAGGCTGGTATTGGTGCTATGTTTGATGTGATGGGCATATTAATGTTAGATTTGAGTCTTGATGAAGGTTATTCGTGGGAGGGTGATGGAAATGTAGCCAATTGAGACAAGGTTGAGACTAGCGGTGCAGTTAATAGGAAATTGAAGATCTAATCAATGACCATGACCACGAATGAATTTATCAAACATGTTGCAATATGACACTGAGTCTTTGGTACTATCTTCCTGGCACTTATCTGCAGCTATCTGTTCCCTGTGCCTGTGGATATATCCTCCTTTCTACCTCCTCAACCAAGACCTCTGACATAGTGTCACAAAACCTTGATGCACATACTTTCTATGGCTGGCTATAGTTATCTGCCACACTATCCAAAATGATGCCCAGTAGCCAGAGCACACCTTCCCTTTAAGTAGTGCCAGCAAGTCAGATCTGAGGGCCTTGTTAACATGTGCAACCAATGAACAGGGGGTCTCTGGCTGTAAGCAGCCAATATGCTGCCTGCCTTGCATTGAAGGAGTGC